ATAGGGATGGCCGGTTCGCTCACTGGCTGAGCGTGGTGCTGACAACACCAAGTCAAGGGTTAAGATCCCCTTACCAGTCATCTTTTTTTTAAAAAACTGTATCTTTTAGGGCCGGCCCGTGGCTCACTCGGGAGAGTGCGGTGCTGATAACACCAAGGCCCCGGGTTCGGATCCCATATAGGGATGGCCGGTTTGCTCACTGGGTGAGCGTGGTGCTGACAACACCAAGTCAAGGGTTAAGATCCCCTTACCGGTCATCTTTAAAAAAAAAAAACTGTGTCTTTTAAAAATTTGCCTGCAGCCCATGAGGTTTTAAGTCCCAACATGGCTGCAGTCCTGCTCACTCCAACATGTTCAGCAGGGTGACTCAGGGAGGAAGAATGTGGCCCTGGAACCCTCTGCCTGGGTTCATATCCCAGCTGTACCCAGTTTTGGCTCTGTAACCTCAGGCAAGTGACTTCAGCCTTCTGTGCTTCAGTTTCTTCATCAGTAAAATAGGAGAAGTCATAGGGGTTTTGTGGGAATTCAGTGTATTAAGATAGACTTTTATTCAGACTTAGCATAATTCTTTATTTCACCAAATATTATTATTATTTTTTGTGGCTGGTTAGTACAGGTATCAAACCCTGGACCTTGATGTTCTTAGCACCATGCTAAAACCAACTGAGCTAATTGGCCAGCCTCCACCACTAAATATTATTGATCCTCTGCACCATAACCAGTTCTATGCTGGGCTATGCTTGGGGACACAGTGATGACAACAGCTCTGGCCCTGCTCTCTTAGGGCTCACAGTCCAGTGGGAGAGACAGAGCAGTCCCCAGACAGTGATGACTCAGAGTGGGTAGGACTGGGATGGAGGCATTTGACCCAGCCTAGGAGGAGGGCTTCCTGGAGGAGGGGACATCAGAGCTGAGACCTGGAGAGTGAGGATCATGTCAGTCTGTCAGGGCTCTAACCTATATCCTGCCCTTGCCCTCTTCTATATCTCCCTTCATTATCCATTAAAGTTTAATGAACACCTACTGTGTGTAGTGCTAAATCAAACCCAGTCCCTTATCTTGGACAGCCCAAACCTGGAAAGTGTAGCGCAACAACAGGCTGGGGGTTCAATCCAGTTCTCCACTTCCTGGCTATGGGACCTTGCACATGTGATTTCGCCTCTCTTGGCCTCAATGCCCTTATGGGATTAAGAGGGCTCAGCTCACAACGTTCTTGTGAAGAGTCTCTTGGGATTGTGAAGTTAAAACAGCCTCAGCTCCGGGCAAGTAGATTAGGCTCAGTACATTGGAGTCCTTGCAAGAAGTCCCTAAGGGGCAGCGCGCACCTTCTCCCACAGCCCCTGCCCCACAGTGAGGAAGCACTCAGACAGAATTTTCTATAGGATTTTTATTGGTGCAGGGGGGGCCTGGGCATCATGGAGGGAGTCCTTGACACAGGCACTGGGGTGTGGGAGATTTCAGAGCCCCCTCCTGGAGTATGGCCCTCCAGGTGTTCAGATCTCAGTTTCAAGTTTCTCCTTAATTTTCTTGAATGTTTCTGATAACCAATGCCTGTGGGGAGAGATGGGGGAAGAGGTCACTGTGTGCTGCCACCCCCCTGGATGTCCAAATTCCACCACCTACCTGACTCCCTGATGTTCCCCTTCCTGGATCTCTTCTGATAACCAATGCCTGTGGGGAGAGATGGGGGAAGAGGTCACTGTGTGCTGCCACCCCCCAGGATGTCCAAATTCCACCACCTACCTGACTCCCTGATGTTCCCCTTCCTGGATCTCCATCCCCACTGTGTGTGAGATTGGGAGGACCCCTGGGCTGGGTGGCCCAACTTCTGTGCCTCAGTTTCCCAGATGGACCAGAGCACCTTGAAGTTGAAACGCTTCACCCTGGCCTGACTTTCAATGCCTGCTATCTCTTGCTTCCAACTCTTTCTCCAAGGCTGCTCTTGCCCTAATTGTTTCTTCCTCATTCAAGGGGACTTTCCATTCTCCCTCCCTTTGCCCAGCCTGTTCTGTTCTTCTTTTTTTGGCTGGCCAGTCGGGGATCCGAATCCATGATCTTGGTGTTACCAGCATCATGTTCTCCCAAGTGATCTAACTGGCCAGCAGTCTGTTCCTCCTGCCTGGAAGGCCACCCTCTCCTTGATTATCTACAGATCTTCCTGCCTCGGGGCCCTTACACTTTGCCTTTGCAGGGGATATTCTTCCTAATTAGGCCTGGCTAGATTTTCCTAATCATTCATATCTCATTTTATTTGTGTTTGGCCAGCCAGTACAGGGATTTGAATGCTTGACCTTGGTGTTATCAGCACCACGCTTTAACCAACTAAGCTGACCGGCCAGCCCCCACATCTCAATTTGAAGTGTCACCTCCTCAGAAAAGACCCAACCGCCAGAGAAGCCCCTCCCTAGTCCTTGGTTGTCACACCCACCCTGTTTATTGTCTTCACAGTGCTCAGCTCTATCTGGACCAATCTCCTAGAAATTCCATAGGTTAGTGTCTGTCCACCCTACCCCCCACCCCTTAGAATGTCAGGTCTATGAGGCTTGGGTCTTTATCTAGTTCATCTCTCTATTATTCCCCACATTGGAACAGTTCCTGGCACTTAGTAGATGCTCAATAAGTATTTATTAAGGTACAAATGATTCTCTAGCTTGCCAAAGGGAGCACGTATTGGCATTTACAATGTGCCAGGCACCATGCAGGTCCTCTCCTTTACTTCCCTTCAGAGCCACCCATTTTACAGGTGAGGAAACTGATGCCCCTCCATCAGGATCACACAGGGTGTTGTAACACCATGGTCAAGGGATTGGATTCCTATGCTGGCTGGCAGTCAAAACACCAACAACAAAAAGATCACACAGGGAAAAAGAGATCACACAGGAAGTACGATGATCTACACTGGCCTGTGGATCCAGATCTGTCCAACTGCCAAGATTGGGTCCTTCACCACCACCCAGGACCATCTCTAAAATGTGGCCTGTTCTCTACCATTGAAACGAAAAAAAATGTGGCCTGTCACCACCACCCAGGACCATCTCTAAAATGTGGCCTGTTCTCTACCATTGAAACGAAAAAAAGTGTGGCCTGCGGCCTGTGGCTCACTTGGGAGAGTGCGGTGCTGATAACACCAAGGCCACGGGTTCGGATCCCATATAGGGATGGCCGGTTTGCGCACTGGGTGAGCATGGTGCTGACAACACCAAGTCAAGGGTTAAGATCCCCTTACCGGTCATCTTTTAAAAAAAAAAAAAAAATGTGGCCTGGATGGGAGTCAGGGAACTTACCTGTCCCCCAAGCCTGAGTGCCTTGAGAGCTAGCTATGTGACCACAGGGATGTTGTCAGTCTCTATTTTCCCAATCTGTTCATCTTGGGCTATCCTCCAGGGCTCCACCCAGACACACCCCAGTCCTCCTATGCCCCAGGAAGGGTCCTAACCGGGTCTTGTCAGCAAACTTGCTGTGTTTGATGCGCTCTATGATTTCCAGGGCCTTGTCGTGAAGGGTGTTTCCAAACTCCTTCAGCTTGTCTGGGATGCGATCCAAGGTGCTGAAGAGGTCCGGGGCTGCCTGGGTTGGGGCTGGGCCTGCCCAGAAGATGGGCGGGGATGCAAAAATTCCAGTTATTGGGAGCCCTTAAGAAGGTATTCCAGGGATGGATAAAGAGATCCTTGAATGTGATTCTTTGGGGTCATAGTGTTAGAATGGGGGAAGGGTACTGGAGTGACCAGACGGGGCTCAGGCTGCTGGGAATTGCCTTACAGCCCTGCCCCCCACCCCCCAACCACACATCCCTGCTCCTTTCAAGGTTGTAAAATCAGGACAGCCAATCCCAGAGCTGTGGGAGTCAATACATCAGCAGTCGCTAGGGCTCCCCTGGGCAGATTTGTCTCCTGCTGGACTCCTTTACAGAAACTTAAGCCCCACTGGGTAGAGTGGGGGTGGGGGTGATCAGAGGGCCAGAGGGGAATCAGGACACAGAAGGGGCCCCAGAGCTCTCAAGGATTCTCTAAGCCTGGACCCCCAGGTGGCCAGCTTCAGGATTCCAAATCTCAAACTCCCAAGTTCTGTCCCACCTTTACCTTCCAAAACCGTCAACAGAACGACCACCAGGACCGGGAGGGACAGGATGAGCCTCATGGCAGGGCTGGAGGGGCACTCTGGAGGCAGAGGCGGGGTTAGGAGCAATCAGTGGCACCCTCCTCCCTCTTCCCCCCACGGTCCCTCCATCCCCTTTCTTGAGTTCCTTGGCAGTTGCAGGAGGCAGGGCGGGGGCCCTCCCAGGGGCACTCAGCACCAACCTGGATCAGTCTCAGGACGGCTCCAACAGACAAGCTCGACAAACTCGCCTGAAAGGTCCTGAGCCTGGATCCTTTATCAGGCTGGGGAGAGGGCGGGGCAGCTTACTCTCCCTCCTCCTGAGCCTCCCCCTTGCCACCCACTTCCCTGTGGCCACCCACCTTCTCCTCTCCTGTCCCTTGTTGGTGGGGCTGGGGTCAGGTGGGACCCAGGCACATTCCTTAGGCCTAAAGCCTCTTGCTGTGGAGCAGCCTCGCCTCCCAGTCTCCCTGACTGTGGGGGTTCCTCAGCCTGCCTTAGTCCCTTTCCTCACACAAGGGAAAGCCTTCCCCTCCTCCCTGTGGCCAACTCCCGTCAGGGGTCTCTCGTTAATAACCCTGAGGGTCTCATCCCCAATTCACCCTGTGTCCCCATGCCACCTCTTCCATCCTCCTGCCCCCTTCTCAGCAAGCCTCTTCAGCTCAAACAACTCTTACTCCCTGTCTCTGGGTCTCTCAGTTTACCCTCCATGTCACCCCTCATGCTGCCTCTAATCTCTGAGTAGCCCTGGAAGCTCTCCATCCCCTTGCATCTGGGAGCTTCCCAGACCTCCCTTGATGCTCTCTGGGGTCTTAACTTTACAGTCCCCAGTCTCCCTTTTTTGGAGGGAGAGCCTCTAATCTCTGAGTAGCCCTGGAAGCTCTCCATCCCCTTGCATCTGGGAGCTTCCCAGACGTCCCTTGATGCTCTCTGGGGTCTTAACTTTACAGTCCCCAGTCTCCCTTTTTTGGAGGGAGAGTCTCTTCAACCGGTCTGAACCATAAAACCTCAGCTGCAAAGCTCCCAGTGTGTGCCCTGCCATCCCTTCCCCACTCCCTTCCCTAGCTGCCCCCAGCCCCCACGAACGTTCCATCTGCTCTTACTCACCCTCTCAGGCCCCTCCTGGCACCGAGTCCCCCCACCATCATCACATCTGTTCCCCAGGGCTGGATGTGCCTTCTCTCACTTCCCTACTTGCTACATTTGACCGTGAGTGACCTCTGGTAGCTGTGGGGAAGGGTGGCCCCCAGCCCCACACTCTAGGTTGGCTGGCCTTGTGCCCTGCCAACCATGTGTCAGCCCTGGGGTAGGCGGTATGGTTGTGAAAGGAACGGCACGACCCTGGCAGGATTGCAACATCCCTCTGGAATACAGCGTTTCCAGTCCCTGTCAGTCCTGGTGGCCCCCTTGCTTCCCAGACTGAGCCCAGTGCTCCCAGACATCCACCCAGATGTCTGCTCTCCCCCATCCCCACAAGAATAGAATAATGACTCCCTTGGCTTTCCCAATCTCATCCTCTCCTCAGCTGTAGGGATTTTTGTTTTACAGATGGGGAAACTGAGGCACAGCCAAGAACATCCAATCAGTGAGGGGCTAAAGAGAGGCTCTTTGTCACTCTCCTTTTCAGACTCTAGGCTGTTTCGCTGGATTCCTGCTGGGGTCAGCTGCTGCCCCACAGCCTCCCAGAACACCCTCCCAGCCTTTGTTCCTGAACCTCCTTCCCTAGCCCTCACTTCACCTCTAGATCTGACTTGGGCTGCAGTGAGATAGGGCCCACTTCCCTACTTAGAAGTCTTCATCCATGAAGGTTCAAAATTCAGCTCTTCAACTGAGAGATGTGGCTGATGCTGCCTCCCTCATTGACATCTGGGGAAACTGAGGCTCTGAGAGGGCACAGTCCCAACCCTGGGCATACAGTGAATCAGCAGCAGGCATGGGAGACCAGCCCCCCTGCCTCTGAGCCCACTGACACTTGCCCTCCTCAGCACTGTGGGAGTCATCTCTGGGGGAGAGGAGCCCACCTCCATATGGGTGCTCAGAGCAGTGCCAAGGAAAGCTCAGAGCTCCCAGGTGTGCAGGAGCCAAAGTGGGCAGATGGACGCAGAGGAGCACAGGCCAGGCCAGGGAGATACAAGCTCAAGCCCTGGCCTGTCCCCCGTTAGTGAGAACCCTGTTCCCCATCTCTGAGAACTGAGGGGGTGGGAGGAGAGGAAAGCGCCGGCGGCTCTCTGGCTTCCACCCTCGCCTAGAGAAGTGCCAACTCCCAACTCGCCAAGAGCCCTGGTGTAGACTGTCATAGGGGGAGCCTCTCCCTTCTCTCCCCAGCCCGGATCTGGCATCCAGTAGGCTTGTTAGAAAAGACAAGGGGTAAACAACACAGCTGTTGGAGGACTGAAGAGGAGGGTGGAGGCAGGAAAGCGCAGCCCAGAGGGAGTGAAGGGACTGCCAACTCACAGGGAGGGAGAAAGGCAGAAGGCTCCAGCGAAAGGGGACAAACCCCGATGAAGGAGGAGGAGGGGCAAAAAGAAAAAAGGGCCCTGCAAGAGAAACCGTAGGAGGGAAAGATAAAAGAGGCGGAGGAAAACAGGAAGCCAGAAAATGAAGTCCGGCTGGGAGAGCAGGGCAGAGAGAGAGGCCAGGAGAGGGAAGGAGGCAGAATCAGATAAGACTGGAGGAGAGAGAAGAAAAATACAAAAAAAAAAAAAAAAAAAAAAAAAAAAAAAAAAAAAAAAAAAAGACTAGAGAGAGGGAGCATAATGAGAGGAGAAAAAACCAAAAGTGGCTTAATAATAATGGCACTGGTCTCAGGTCATTTTTGGTTGCAATAACTGTGACACGGGTCTTAATATGGGCAAACTGAGGCTCAGGGAGGTTTGCTTTTTTGCTCAAGGTAGTCAGAGGCAACAGATTCAACCCAGGGGAGCGTTGGCCAGTCAGCTCACTCGGTTAGAAGGCGGTGTCATCACCCAGGGGTGGATTTGTTCCAGAACCCGTGTCTTAGAGATGGAATGGAAAGAAAGGCAGAAAAAGTGAGTGGTAGAGAGAAGCACAGAGGAAAAAAGTGAAAGACTGAGAAAAAGAGGGAAGCAAAATAGAAGACACGCACGCACGCAGAGGCGACAGGGAGAGCCGTGTGGCCAGTGTGGGGAAGGAAAGAGCAACTGAGGCTGCGCTGTGAGGAATCACACCCGGAGGCCCAACAGCTGCTGTGCAGCTTGAGGAATCTTTATTAATCTAGGGCCCATCGGAGGAGGACCAGAGGACCGCGGGGAGGGGACAGGGCCTCCTGCTGTCTGAGGGGAGGCAGGGGGCTGGGGCAGGAGTGAGGCGGGCCAGGCGGCAGGCCTGGGCCCTCAGTGATTCTCGGTGGGCACAGGGATGGAGCTGGTGCCCACGGCGGCCTGCACCTTCTCCAGCAGCCCGGCCCACTGGCGCTGCATGTCTTCCACCAGGGGCTCGAACCAGCTCTTGAGGCGAGCCTGGAAGGCCTCGGCCTGCAGGCGCATCTGGTCGGCCTGTTCCTCCACCTTGGCGCGCACCTCCTCCAACTGCTCGCGCACCTCCTCCAGGCGGTCGCGGCCCTGGCTGCCCATCTCCTCGAAATGCCCGCGCAGCCGCTCGCCCCAGGCCTGGGCCCGCTCCCGCAGGGGCTGGCCGGCCACGGTGCCCACGGAGGCGGCCCGCAAGCGGCCCTGCTCCATCAACGGCCCGAGGCGCTCGCGG